AGGGAGAAGGAGCTGAGTGGTAGTGCCTAAGTAGGCCAGCACTCCGCAGCGTTGCTATGGCACCACGCTCGCCTCTGCAGGCTTCTTTCTGGGCTGCGTTCCCAGGAAACCTAGAGCAGCCGCCAATAGTCCCTCCACCCTCACCAAGTGTCCCTGCCCCAGTCCCTGCCCAGCCCTTTCCTAGGCAGAGGCTGCTCCTTTCCTGGGTCCCTCTTTTTTACCCAACCTGCTGCTAGAGGCACAGTGTACCCATCCCACCTCACACGGACACACACCTGCCCACACCTCCCAACTCACCTCTCACAGAGAAACACTAGACACACACTAGAAGCCCACACAGTTCACTAGACACACGTGTGAAAATGTGCATTCACACAAACATGAGTGCTCACACATGCACCTACACCTGTGTGCAAACACGCACACCCACACACATACAAACATGTGCCTTCAAGTTGTGTACATGCACAATGCATGCACAAACCTGTCCATGCACGCACACATCCCTGCATCACAGAGGCACAGGTACCCACATGCAAGCCCTGGACGTGCATGTACAGGTCCGCCCATACCCACGCACGCACCGTCCTGCCCACAGCTGTGTGCGCCCGCAGACCTGCACAGGTTTGCAGGGTACATGTGCGTGTACAGGCAGGCTCTCCGTGAACTAGGGCGGCTGATGCCCTGTGCTTCCCGCTGTAACGCCCTCTCCTCCTTGGCGGCTGTCAGGATGTCTGTGCGTGGAGGGCGCAGTGACAGCTCTGGGTCCTCACACACATCCCCGCGGCCCCACCTGGGGGGGCCTTGGATGTGAGGAGTCTCCTGAGCCTGGTCTCCAGCCCCCAGCCCAGGTGAAGTGGGGCTCACTCTCAGGCCTGGGTGGACCCTCCACCTGGCTGGAGGGGGGGTTCTCCTTGGCTGGATTGAGCTGAGGGCATTTTTGAGATCTGAGAGACATCTGTCTGGGGTTGGGTGGAGGTGGCCCGGGGTTCAGTGCTCCCCACAGCAGAGGACCCTCCGAGTAGGTGAGGAGCGAGATGGTCAGTGGCTGGGGGGGGCAAGGTTAGGGGACATCCCTCCTTCCTTCCGGACCCCTCCCTCTGACATCACTGGCCAGGGCCCCAGAGGTCTTCCCCTGCATAAGGAGATGCTGTGAGGTCACGGGTGGGTGTGGGGGACCAGCCTGGTGGCATCTCCAGCTCATGACAGCCCTGGGTGCAGCCGTCAGTGTAGGACGAGCCAAGGATGCAGGGGCTGAGGCTTGGGGTGTCCAGCAGCCCTCTAAGGCCCCAGTCCCACCGCTCTGTGCGGAGCCATGAGACAGGTTCAGGCCAGGAATGAGGTCTGTCCAGGCTTCCTGCACGGGGAGGGAGGCTGGACCGAGGGGTGGGCCTCCATGGCCTCCCTGTGTCCACCCGACCGAGAGATGGATGGATGCAGTGACTCGCTGGGGGCCACGCTGTGGCGGCAAGGACCCCCAACATAGCAGTGTCCATCGCTGGCACAGAGGCCAGGACACCTGTGCCCACTGGGGAAGCGGGTGCTCGCGGCGGGGACCAGCATCCCAACCCCCTCCACCCTCCGACTGCTTCGGTCACTTCCGGTGTCCTTGGGCTGCAGGCTGGGCGGAGCTGCCCTCTGGCGGCCACACGCGGGAGGACAGCAAGTGAGGGATGGGAGGACGGACAGGTGGGGGCACAGAGGACGGACAGGTGGGGGCACAGAGGACAGACAGGTGGGGGTTACGGAGGACAGACAGGTGGGGGTTACGGAGGACGGATGGAGGGGTTATGGAGGACGGACAGGTGGAGGGGGCACCGAGGATGGACAGATGGAGGGGTTATGGAGGACAGACAGGTGAGGGCACGGAGGACAGACAGGAGGGGGCTCGGATGCCTCTACACACCTGCCCCTGGTGACCATGGAGAGGAGAGGTTCCTCCTGCAGGGACAGAGAGGCAGAAGGCAGGGCGTGCTGTGCCCCAGAGCACACTGTACCCCAGGGCCTTGGCACCGTTCTCCCTCTGCCTGCCCATTCTTCTCACTATGGACTGTACCAGTGCAGCCACTGGTGGGCTGTCCCTCCCTGGGGCTCTTCCTTCGGACACACTGCAGACCAGGGTGACCTGAGGCAGCAGGCAGGGTGGGGAGGGTTGTGTGGGATGGGGGACCTCACATTCCCAGCTGGACTCCCCAAGTGTGGGGTGGGCAGGCCTTGAGTCCTGCGTGGGCACTGAGCAAGTAAGGGGTGGGGCAGAAGGGAGTGGACGCCTCTCTGCTTTCTGAGTTCTGCAACCACGAGTGGCCTCGCCGTCCCACAGGCTCTGCCCTCCCATCCCCTACCCATCACCCCAGGCTCTGGCCCCATTCCACAGGCTCTCCTTTCCATCCCATTCACTCTGTCTCCCATCCCATGGGCTCCATCCCTCATCCCACTGTCTTGATCCCAACATGATCCCGTGGACTCTACCTCCCATCCCACGGGCTCTGTTCCCCGTCCCGTCCTCCATAGCTCCACAAATGGGTGCAGTTGACCCTGAGTCATAGTTACTCCCTCTCTCTTCTGCCTCCCCCAAGTAGTGGGCCCCCCCCTTCCGGTAATTCTCCCCTATGTGGATTATGGTGAGGTGTGTGAAGGGGCCTGCAGGAGCTGACCTTGGGAGCCAGCTTTGGGATCCAAGGCTGGCCATGGCCACTCCCAAGTGGGGGACACACAGGGATTCAGTCACAGGACAACTGGGAGTGGTGAGAAGAGCTCAGGAATGTGTTCTCCAGTCTGGAGGGAGAACAGGACACAGCCCTGCCTGTAGGCCCCGTGCTGGCCTGACTTGGTCTGGGAGGCATCTCCCCAGTGTCCTTAGAGATTTGGGCACAGGACACCTCTGGTGTCTCCAGACCCAAAAGGGGCACAGCAGGTGACAGAAGAGGGGCCCTCAGACCAAGAGGGGGTACAGTGATGGGCAAAGGCACTTCCAGACCTGGAGGGAAGAATTAGGTGTCTGGAGAGGATCCCCAAACTTGGGAGGGGCAAGAGGTGAAGATCCCTCCCAGGTTTGGAGTGTGGGAGGGCAGGTGGCCCCTAGACCCAGAGTGGGCACAGGAGTATCAAGAGGGTCCCTCCTAACCTGGAGAGGCCCAGGGGTGTCAGATTGTCCCCCAGACTCAGGAAGAGATGCAGGGCTTGTTGAGAGGGTCCACCAGCCTGTGGGGACACAGTAGGTAGGGGTCCCTCCAGACCCAGAGGGCACAGCTATTGTCCAGAGAGGGTCTCTCCCGGCTGAGTGCAAGGAAGGCTGGCTGGACCCTCCCGTGCAATACGTGACACCATCCTTCACGTGCCCGGTGTCTGTGGAACAGGCTAGCGCCAAGCTGACCCAAACCCAGTTTGAGCCAGTTCAGACCCACGGGGTTCTGAGGCAGTGTCTTTACCAGGGTGTCTGTTCAGGTGTTCCAACTTGAGGTGACACAGCCTGGGAAGTGGAGTCTGTCCTGTGTGACACGGTGGCTCTGGGAGGTAAGTGGCTCCAGGTGACAGGGTGGCTGGGGCTGTGGGACATTTTTTTGCCTACAACCTAGGAGGTGATGACAGCTTGGTTCCGGCTTGGTTACTTGCGGAGACTTCCAGTGCCTTTGGTCAGAATGAGACCCTGTGGTCTCCAGTGCCCACTGACTTGGCCATCCTAGAACATTTCTGGAAGGACAGACAGACATAGGGCTTATACACTGGGCATACCAAGAGATCTGCTTGGGGTTGGTCCTTTACCATGTCTAGTCCTCATGGCTAGTCCTTCATCAAGTGACCATATTTTTAAGTGTTTAAGTGACAGTCTCCCCATGGACGTAACCAGTTAAATCCACTCTAGTGTCGTGGGACCTCTCCAATTTAGTTGGTGAGTGGATAGCCATCCGGGGCTGGGCCAGGCAGAGCCACTTCGGGGAAATGCTTTTGCTGTGGTTAACAGCGATCACTAAGACTGGTCCCAGAAAAAGAGAGATAACCCTGTCAGCAGAAGGGAAACACTGCACGCTCAGATACAACTGAATAGCTTTTAAGTGGAAAGAAACTTGCGAGAACCAGTAAAATGTACAGAAAACCCATGGCCTCCCACAGAACAGAGGTACCTGTTAGCCCCGAGGGTCTGCGGCTCAGGGCACCAGTTAGAGATGGTGTTGCCCTAACCGGCTGTGGCAGTCACATCCTGACCATGTCTCTGCCTGGCTTCCCAAGCACAGCCTGGCTGTTAACTCAGGCCTTCTCACCAACTCCGGGTGCCAGTGCCCCCCCCCGTGTTCCTGAGGGTCAGTTACCGTGGTTTGCTAATTACTAAGGAGAAACTACTAAGGTTGGATTTTACAAACAAAAACTACAACTTAAGGTATTTAATAGTGTTTTATCCCTTCAGTACAATCTTAAAAGTTTTCTGCTTGCATAATTTCCTTACACACATAAAAATATGCCCCACCCCACTCTCAGTGTCGAGGGAAGGAGTACAAACATTGTTTAATTAAAAAACTTTTACAAAAGTACGCCTTTACTCAGAACCATCAGTGACCCAGCATCGACAGGACCCCACTATGGGCGGAGTGGCCCCTGCACCAGCAGCACATCAAAGCCGAGAACTGCTGTTCGCTGCCTCCTGCTTCTCCCCAGGCACCCCCGTCATCTTTCTGGTGTGTCTCCTGGGTCTCAAAGGGCTGCATTTCACACTCCTTATTGAAAATAACAAAAGCTGCCTCAATTCCATTACTTTCGGGGAGTCAACAACGACAGCCCCCCCTGGAAAAACCAGGTGGCTGAGTGGGGACAGGCCCACAATGCACCGGAGTGGGCCTGAGCCCTAACATGGTCAGCTGGCCATGACGGCAGCTGCAGAGATCTGGAATATCGTTTTCCGACACCGTAAACGCTGAGGTGGGGGCACACACACATTCGCACGCCAAGCGCCCGAGGAGACACGGGGACACAAAGTGCAGACACGGAACCATCCCAGAGACGGGGCTTTAGTACTCCCACTCGTCCGACTTGAGGTCCAGGTAGCTGAGGATGTTCTGGGCCAGCTTCACGGCCTGCTTGCGGGCGGCCTTGCAGCGTTCCTCGCCCTGCGCGTCCACCGCGTCCAGGGCCAGCAGCTGCTTGGTGAGCAGCTCCTCCAGGCGGATGTAGTTCTTATCTGAGCGCTTGCCGTCGAAGGACAGCACCTCGCCCTGGATCTCGGCCAGGTGGCCCAGCACCCGCCACACGGCCCGGTGGGACGGGTGCTCCTTGCAGGCCAGCTGCTTCCGCTTCTCCAGGGCCTCCTTCAGGTCGATGAAGGTCATGAGCGTCTGCACCTCGATGACGGCCCTGCGCCGGGCCTCCCGGATGCAGGGGTTCTTCTCCACGCTCACCTCGTCCAGCTGCCCAATCAGGCCCTGCAGCTCTGTCTTGCAGCTCAGGTAGAGCTCCGGGGGGTTGGGCGCCTGCAGGAGCTCAGTCTTGACCACTTTCATTCGCCTGAGGACCTTCTCGATCTGCAGGATGGAGTGGTTCTGACCCAGGTCGAAGGCGTGCGTGGTGTCCGCCTCCTCCTCCAGGTCCAGGTACTTGAGGAGCTTGTTGATGTCCTCCACCACCTCCCGGCGGTAGTTGCGGATCTCCGTGCGACCACACACGTCCAGGGCGTCTAGGTCGGCCAGCATGCCTGAGAGCACGCAGGACAGGTGCCGGCAGGTCTCACTGCAGCTCACGCCCATGAGGAGAGCGATGAGGGTGCCCCTGGCCTTGTTCACCTCGCACATCACGGCGTTGATCTTGGCCACAGAGGGATGCGTGTCCTCAGACAGCGGCAGGGACGGCTGCTGCTTCATGCAGTCTTCAATGACCTCCTGGACCGCACAGATCCTGGTCAAGGTGTGGTAGCGGGCTTTGCGCAGGGACACCTTCCCGCCGGTCTTGACGTGGGTCAGCCGCAGGATGATATCCTGGATGGCTTCCTCGAACTCCTGGGTGACGGCGCTGCCGCCGCTGTGGAAAGGCACGAGGTTGGCCTCCACCAGGGTCTGCGCCTCCTTGAAGATGGCCTGGATCTCTAGGCGGCGCGGGTGGTGTGCGTTCTGCTCCAGCTCCTTGAGGAGACGCTCGGTCTCTTGGGCCGCCCGCTTCCTGGCCTGCTGGACATCGCCCCTCCCCTCAGTGTCCACGGAGTCAATCTCAAAGAGCTGCTTGGTGAGGATGCGCTCCAGCCTCTTGTAGCCCTTGTCATCCGGGAGGCCGCTGAAGCAGGTCACCTGCGGCTCTAGGGCCTTCACCTCTTTCTGGATTTCCTGAAGCCGGCTGATGGCAGGGTGCTGGTTCCCCATATCCATGCTGTGGAGGGGTTCCTCTTCACAAGCTCTGGAGGGTGACAAGAACGACAACTTACTACAGCGGAAGGAATCATGTGCTAGTAAGAGACACGCCTGGGGAGGGGGCAGGGCCACGTGGGGACAGCAGGGGGACCCAGCAGCTTCCTCCCTCAGCAGGGCAGTGGTCCCTGCAGGCTGGAAGCGGGGCGGGGGTGGTGTCTCCCCATAAAATGGACGGCAGCCAACTGAACCAGCAGCAGGCCTGGCATAAATTTTGCAGGCTTCAGACTGGACAGTGTGGGCACCTGTGGGTGGAGCTTCACACCACCTCTCGAACGGCACTGACCCTCAAGCCGACACACAGACATCTAAGTACACAGCTGCTTCCTCAAAGAGGACCTGAGCCCTCTACAAGCTCCGGAGAGCCCGTAACCTTGAGACCTGGTTCCTACACCCCATGTCTTTCTACGTTTGACCAGGACACAGGGCTCCAGCAGTCCTTCACCTAGTCCTGAGAGGTCACATCCCGCCTGGCCGTGGAGGGGCCGCGGGGAGCCTCGGGGGTCCTGTCTGGGGACACCACCTTGGACTTTAGAGCGATGGCACCCCCGATTCACCCCTCCGGGCAGGGCATTATGGTCCCTGGGGTTCTCAAGGTTGCGGTTAGTACTGGAGCAGGCCACCCTCTCCTCTCCCACCCCATCCCCGCCCTGCATCCTCAGGGCTGACCCCCGCCCCATCCCCTCCGTGCTCCTCTCCGGGGGTGACCCAGGGTCCCACCACCGACTCTGTGTTGAGAAGCCCCGACCCCCACTGCTCCCTCCATCAACATTACTGGATTCCCGCCCCGGAGGGAAGGGTGGCGCTGACCCCCGGGTTTCCGAGGCTGCAGCCTTCCATCTGGAGGGACGCAAACTCGCCACCTCGCTCCAGACCGGGAAAGGGCAGGCGGGTTGGCACCCACTGCCCGCTCGGTGCGCAGCTGAGCCCCGAACACCGCGCCCCCGGGGCTCCACCTCCTCCACGAAAGCAGCCCTGCACCTCTGAGCCTGCGGAGCCACGGGTGGGCTTGAACCGCCGACCTCCCGGCCAGCAGCCCCGGGCTTCCAACACCGAGTGACCACCCCACACCCCGCAAAGCGCGACTCAACTGTGAGCAATCCATGCTCTCTCCCGGGGCCAGCTCGGCCGCCTCCGCCTCGCAGCCCGCCGGCCCTGCACCCGCAGGCGTCCGGGCGATGGAAGGGCGGCCCTTCACCGGGAGAGGCGCCCGCGCCGCGCCCCGAGCTGCAACCCTCTCGCCCCTCCCGGCTAGGTCTCGACCGGGCGGCCGGTGCGGGGTGTCGCGCCCGGCTGCCCCGACGCG